TGATATATATGCGCGAACGCAGGGATAACCTGGAATTACTAGGAACTACACTGAAATATCCCCCCTCCCGCAACACTTTCTACATGTTGATTCAATCCCTCCTGACTTCGTAGTAGGGTAATTTTGGGGTGGGGATCACAAATATATTGTTGGAATGTCCCAGTTTTGATTTGCAATGGACTTTCAGCTGCTCAAAAGCTGACAGTAGCTGAGCAATTTCAAAATTCCTGGGGGTTTTGGATTCTCGGTTCCCACGTCGAGTTTTTGTCTGATCAACTTTCTGAGTGGCTCTACCCCCTCTAAATCGGCTAAGCGGAATCGATTGCCGAGGAGAAATGGAGGCGCCGAAATCGGCAACGCCGTGAATGAAAACAATCAAGGCGATCCGATCACATTTTTTTTTATTTCTCTTTTTTTATGCTTTTAAACGTCGTTTTAGACATGTATCCAACAACGGTTTTTCATTCGAGTCTTTCCTCGCCGCGGGAGAGACAATTCGTCTTTACCGCGGAACACCCCTATATTCGTTCTTGAAGTCCTCCAAAATGCCGTAGGCGGTGCCCCGTTTCTCCGCGCTGTATCCTCGCTGTCGAGCGCTGCTTACGCGCCAGCTGCGTCCGTTGCTCTCGGGAAGGCCTTTCCTCGTCCAGCCGTCTACTCGGTCACGCGCGGAAGTTCCATTTTTTTTATTTTCTTCTGGCTGCATGAGGTGCGATCGCCCCCCGCAGCGGCATTTTCGACGTGAAACAAAAAAGGTGGCAACGTTGCGGGTCGCTCAGTCAAATATTGAAGCATTCGCACCTCAGAAATTGTCGGGTGCGCGCGAGAGAGCGGTAGGTCAATGTAGGTGAAAACGTACTGCAAAATGAAAAATACATTTTTTTCTCGTGTCGTGGTCACGCATGTTCGGTGTCGACAACAGCAGTCGCAGGGGTGACGGGGCGTATTCTGACGAATACGTTGTACTGCTGTAAGAAACAATCCGCATTCTGTCTTACAAGGACTGCACGCTGGCAGAATGGCTGCTGCTGTGGACGAACACGCCACAACGCATGAGTGAAAAAACATGCTGTACATGTGTGTAGACTAGTCCCCTCTCTCTCGTCTCGCCGCACTCGATCGCACCCGCAATACCACCCCAGCTCTTCGTCTCGCACTGCAAGTCGAAGCATGTGTCGGGTATTCATTATTCAAAAAGCACATACCAACATGTGTGCGTCCCAATGCTTGTATCAGGACCTCCCGACTCTGTAGCACACATTTCGAAGATGCTGGTGCCACCGACGGTGCTGCTCTTTCCCACTGCATAAAGCAGCTGTAGTCTGCGTCTACATGTAGTTTGTACATGCGCACATACATGCCGAGAGTACCGCTGCTGTGTCCCCGAAACTACTGCTGTATTACCGAAACCTGCTGCAATCCGTCAGTCAAGTCGGCAGCAGCAGTAGTCTAAGAGCGACACACGCGCACACCAGGCGGACACGTACGTAGACAGATGGCGAGAGAGACAATAACAAGCTTCTCACACACCTGGTGCTGCAACGTCGATGCCCGAGACATGATGGCTTCTCCTTCCAACAACCTCGCTGACGCTATCCAGCAAGTAGGGCATGCTCTCGGCATCTTGCTGCTTCGCGCTTGCTCGCCTTGGCCTGAGGTGTTGCCTGGCGGCCAGCGGAGCAGGGAAACCGAATGCGGCTAGACCTATAGCAGCGCCGTTTACCGCTCTGTTTGCTGAATCCTGTCGGGTTTTTCCCTTGATGACCACTACCCCTCTCTATGTTGGACCCTACCATGGTGTCGCGCGGGTGGGGCCGTTATCTGTGGCGTGCGTGATGTGGTTGAAGGGGCATGCCCACTCGCCATCACATGCGGCGAGATTGATTTGGAAAGTTGCCTTGCA